CAAGCTATGCTAAAAATTGCAGACGATATCATCGATATTATGAAATCGCACTGCGATAATAAGGTTGTTTGCATAGCTTCTCAGTGAATTACGGCTCTGTGTAGTAAATGCTGCTCCTTCTGAAAGCACGTGAAAATACCACATTTAATAACATGTTTTTACTCCAAACTCACTTCATAACGTCAGTCAAGTGTTTGACTGACACAGAATAAGGCACGCAACATATTTCATAGTATTCTATTAAAGGCATTGCATTATTATATAATTTATTATAAGGAAAATTATAGTAAGAAGAACTCAAATAAACCATATATTGTCATAGTAGTTTGTTTATTAGTCACGTTGAATCAATGAAAGCAGTTAAATCTTCTGTTTATTCAGCTGCAGCAATAGGGATTTCCTGAATTTCTTCTGCATGACGTATTTGGAATTTGTGCACGAGAGCGCTCTCTGGCTTTCGGATGGAGATTTACTACTGATCACAGAACCGTGTTTCACTGACAAGATACGTGCATGAATATCGCAGCTTTTGCCCTAATATCAATTGCGATTTATCGGGATTTATTGTACAGCCCTACAGCTTTTGCCTAATATCAATTGCGATTTATCGGGATTTATTGTGCAGCCCTACCTACAACTCGGTTCCTATTCAGTATGGTTCACTCGGATAGCGTTAGTTGCTAACGCTATGGGGAAACTGTTTTTTCTGAATACTTAAGCCTGATTTGTTCATATCTGTGCACCTGCACAGACAAATGGCATTTCAGCTCAGCCAAAAAAAAGCCTAAATAAAAAAAGCCTAAATATGTGGGCTTCCATACCGCATAGTTCTAGGAACTAGCCAGCAGGGTTCCTACAGAACTAATTTTCTCACCGGGCCATTTTTACTGGTTGCATTCGCAAAAGTAGGAACTCTGAAGCAGCCGATAGCGGCGTCTTTATGCGCTGCATTTACAAACGTCAACAACCAGCGGATGTACGACGCTGTGATCGGAGCTCTGTTTGTAGTGTGTCATGGTTTTTGTGATAACTGAGGTGGAATGTAAACGCATTATTTACATGATTGAAAGAGCAAAAAGTAGGGGTGGGAATCACCAGAGGCCTCACGATACTTGTGTCACGATACAATATTATTGCAATTTTAAATATATTGCGATATTCTGCGATATACTTCATATTAAATATCAATATATTATTTTTATTCACTTCTATGTAACAGAATCAGATATAAGTTGTTGTTGTTTTTTTTTGACTAATTATCCAAATAATGTATAGTCCTTCAAAGCTGTTATTATCGGAGCATATGAGCAGAGCATAGCATAGCAGAGCATAGCGTCACTGAAGGTAGCATTATTTTACCAGCGTTGCCCAGTACAGCTGAACTAGCCTACACCATGTTATAGCACAGAAGCGCTACTGTAAACCGGAACAAGCAGGCCTATACTGCATATAAATTCTGTCAGCGCGTTATTTGAGCGGACTTTGCTTTTCCGATGAGCATGAGCGGTACACGAGCGGAATGCACATTCATAGATCGGAATTTTGAGCGAAGCGTCAAACCGCGCAGTGACGAGGAGAGTGAAATATGTGCGCTGAACACTGCCGGGTGGGGCGCGACGCGGCGCGCCATATATATTATTTCCATACATCCGATTTAAACGTGGACGGGGCTTTCCTGATAACTTTCCGCGATGCCACCCTCTTTATTTTACTAACTTACTGCATGCTGAAGGTGACCCAGCTGACCTCACCAGAAAAAAACTCAACGCCACCATCTAGTGGATTGTAAAGAAATTGATTTTATTCTACCAAATAGTATAATAAAAGATCGATACTTGGCGTCCGTGTATCGATACAGTATTGCCGCGGAAAATATCGCGATACTATGCCGTATCGATTTTTTTCCCCCACCCCTAGCAAAAAGTGGGGTTTATGAGATGAAATCTCCTATGACTTGCAGCGTTACATTGAAGCTGAGAAAAGAACACAATGCTGCAGATGACAGGTTAATGTTGTTATCACTGTTTTTCATATTTGTGGAGTAATTCTCTTTACCTGGCTTTTTAAAAATTCTGGATGCCGGTGATTGGCCAAACGCACGCTTTCGTCACTGGTAGTTCCTATAGTGCTTGGTTAGACCCTATTCTGAAGTAGGAGCTAATTTAGTTCCCCCAAACGAGTTCCTAGAACTAAAATTGCTCCTAGTACCTGTGGTGAGAACATGCTGAAAAGCGGGTACTTCTGCCATTAGTTCTAGGAACTATGAAAAGGTTCCTTTGGTGGGAAAGCCCCTTAAGTCACGCTGAAATCCCATATCATCAATTTTTCTCCTTCAGTGCAAAGATCATCTCCTCACTGATGCTGAAGAAAATGAAAAAAGGAAGCCTTTCTGCTCACTGTGGAAAAGCTTCAGCAGCGGATTAATGGTGCTAACAGCACTGCGGCTGAGGCTAAAATAGCATATTTAAATCTAAAAATTGTTGTTTGCACAAGTGTGGCACTTGCAGGGCTTTCCTGCATCCATCATATGAAGACTATGAGCATGTCGCTTGCATGAGACGTACTCATCAAGGTGGATCGCTCATTGCAAGAGCATGCTTCTCTCCTCACTGCTTTCACAGCCCAGTTTTTCTAAGGAAAAGCAACTCCGCCCCTTGTGCTCTACTGTTCTCTTACTCTCAGGAGTCTAAGATGAAGAAACAGTGTAGTCGCTGGGCTGAATGAATGCGACTGAGTGACCTCACACTGGACCATATACCGTGTGCATCTCTTTCTCTACAGCTAGGGGATTCCCTAGTGCTTTTCTCCCACGAAAACAAATGCCCTTGAATGTGGCGATTTAATTTTGTCTCTTTGAAGGTTCCAAAAAGGACTTTTCTAATAAACACTTATGTTATTGACAGTTTCTATGCAGAGGAATAGTGTGTCCACCATGGAGGACTCTACTCCCTAACCTAAGGCCCCCCCCCCCCCCCC